ACACACACATAAACAAACACATTTACTTCAACCACAATAACTGCTTGTGTGTTGCTGCTTATAACCAAGCCAACGCTCTTTAAATAAGACTGGGAAACAAATGGAAAAGACTGTTGTTGTGCAGCACTTTCAAACTGAGAGTTATCTATATAAAACCTGAGGCTTATGTGTGTTGTTTTTGATATCAGTAGCCAGTTTTTACATTTTACCTCACATTTGAGAACGAGTTTTCAGTCTTCTAACTGCTCACAGAAAAGGCTATTTTCCTCTTTATAAAATGCTTATTTTCATTCAACAGCGGTGAAATAAAGAGTGAAATGGTTCTCTCCAGTCTCGGTTCAGCAAATGTCTTGCTGTTGAGGTCACAGTGTGGTTAATTTTAATCATTATTTTCAGTGTTAAATGTCAGTTAATTCAAACGGGCAGAGCTTAGTTCATGGCTGGTTGGTTAAAAAAGATTGTTCTTTCATTTAAAAGATCTTGGTTCAGCCACCAAGTACATCTACCCTGTTAAAGTTACCTTAAGCAGACAATCAGTACTAGCTCAGGGATGTAGTTCTGAAGCTAGGAAAAACTGTTATTATTCTATTGTAATTGCTTATTAAATGTTGCTGCTGTGTATATACGTGTCCTGCACCAAGGTGGACTTACTGAAAGGGTCAGTCGTGTCCTCATGTCTCCATCTATGGCCTTGGCAGCTTTCCTCAGTAGCTAGCAGGCTTGGATCTGGACAGCAGCTGGTTTCTTGCTGAAACTTAACAAACGATCCAAACTTTTTCTGCTGGAGACTCCAAATGTGACACGAAGGCATGGTTGACAGCCTACTTTTAGAATTTCAAACTTCACTGTGAACTACTGTAAGTCAATTGAGCTGGTAATAACAGCCTAATTCGTAAAGCACTTTTAAAACACAAAGTTAACAACGTGCTTTACAGGATTAAAATAGTAGAACTATAATTCAAACTTACAACACACACAACAAAATAAATTAAGAAGGAAAGCACTGTAAAAGGACATGATTCCAAGGGATTGGACAATTTGGAACCAGTTTTCAATTCCCAACCAGGTTTGTATAATACTGAAGCAATACTAAAAGTATGGAATAATATGGTTGTAGACTACTGTGTCTTTTTTGTTTATTTATTTTTTACTGTGTAAGCTGTCCATAAAAAAATGCAAGAATGTGAGTAGAGCGGAAAGAAGGCAGCAAATTGACTTCACTGTAAGGAAGTGGGAAGCTAAGCAAAGCTAAAGACACAAGTAGCCAAAGCAAGGACTTAAATAGTTTTGGGAAGTCTGCTTTGTTGCGTTCTTACTAAGAGATGGATGAGAAGAAGTACACCACTCTCGGCTGTGTCCATTAAATGTGAAGTAACAGGCAGGCGACGGTTAGCTTAGCTTAACTGAGCTGCTTGCATGAAGATTTTGTTACCTTCAGACAAAGGTGTTTGTCATAGTTTCCAGTCTTGATGCTGAGCTAAGCCAACTGGCTGCAGGCTGTATATTAACCATAGAGACATGGAAGTGGTATCAACCCTCTCATTGAACTCTGGGTAAGTAGGCGAATAAGCGTATACCCTAAAACTCTTCTTTTAAGGACAGAAGTGATGTGGTTTTTCCTCCTTGTTTGTGTTAAGATTCTTAAGAGACCCATACAGTAATCCAATATAGTTGAATCTGCTGTATATTTCCACTGCCCCTGACAATATGAAACCTTAAAATTATACATTAAATGAACCTTTTTCTCGAAGCTCTGAGGGTTGAAGTTCTAACTCTGCTCACTGTTGATGTTACACCGCTGGAACTCATGTTGAAACTCTTCTGTCTGCTAACCATACAGTAACTCTCCAACTGAATAATATTTACAGCTTGACACAGACATCACCCTTCACTGAAACCATACTGGGGTTTCTTCCATTAGTTCATTTAACCTACACGTGTCTGCACAGCATTAATGAAAGTTGTTAACTCAGCTTTTTTACTGGAGATATTATGTATATTAACTAACTGCTCGCCGAGCGTTTGGCTTTGCAGATCCGGCAACATGTTGTTTCAAGGCTTTTCATGCTCTAACCGCTCTCCTTCTCTCTCCCTCTTTTCTCCACTATGCCTCCTGCCTTTCTCTCACTCTCCTTGCTGCTTTCTCTCTCCACTCTCCTGCTCCTCCTCTGCTGTCCCGTTTCCTGCATGCTCTCCTGGACCCTGCAGAAGATCTTAGTGGGGATGGTAAAGTTACGCTGTTGTTTATCTCTCTGTTGTTCCGTCTTTGTAGTCCTCACTCCACCAACACACTGCAACCTCCCTAGCGTGTGTGATTGTGTTGGTGTGTGGGGGTTGATGTTTATGCATGCATTCTTATATCTTTAACAACGGTGCTATCTGTGTATGTGCTGTATTGTGTACATATAGAGTGACTGAAATCATTTAGAATGAAATGATTCTTTAGCTGAGTGTGTGGCTGCTCATGTTTCAGTGATTGGAAACATGAATAAAGCACCAGTAGTTTGATCTGTTGGTAGCTGGAGCAGTTTCCTGTTTCAGTATTGTTTTTGTCTGTCTATTTGTGGTTATTTTTTGTAGATTGCCACTAAATTTGAAATATGTCTGCTTTAAACCACAAGAACAAAAGCAGAATTTGGAAATTAAGTGGTATTTCTCTTTAAGGGAATTTCTCCAACTCTTTCTCTCTCTCTTCACACACACACGCAAAATCATGCACACGTGTACTCACGTACATTTATGCACACACAGAGCGGAGTAGGGAGAGGTTTGCTGGATTCAAGAGCGGGTGCATTCCTGGCTATAATGGGCTAACTAGATCACACACACACATACACATAAACACACATGCAAGCACAAACACACAATATCCTTCCACTGAACGCAGAAAGAGAGTTAGACCAAACTTAGAAACGGTTGATTCTTTAGAACAAACCACATGGGAGTGAATATGCAGCAATACAAACAATGCACTTCACAGTACAAACTATCTGTACAACTGAAACCATATTAGTGCTTTATCATTTCACACACTGTATGGAAACACTGATAAGCCTGTCTGGATGTAGAAATAAATTTAAAAAAAGTTTCTGTTGCTGACATGTGTTTTATTGAATAAACCATGACTGATAAAAACCACCTTTTGCTGAAATGCTAGGCTTTTTATGATGAGTTTATCTAATAAAACACATTTTAGTAGCAGCTGCAGAGTAAGCAGAGCTCTTGCTTTTATTCCAGCTCATATGAAGATATTTTTAGAGGTGCATTAAAGTCTTTCCTTTCCTCTCATGCGAAACATAAATCATGCACAGAAATGGTTTAGCAAAAGTCATGCCTGTTTGATTAAAAGTTTAAACATTTTCCAACCTCTTCTTCTAAGGACTGACATTGAGAACACTGTCATGTCTGTCTGTTAAATATGTAGCTGTGGCCAACAGCTGGTTAGCTTAGAACACAGACTGGAAACTGATATATTTACAGAATGAGTGGTATCAGTTTTCTCATCTAACTCTTAGCAAAAAATCAAATATTAGGTATTTCCGGAACTATTTCTTTTTGCATTAAACACTCCAATAACATCCAAATAGTACAAACCCAGTGTATTGTTTAGCCTGCCTTACGTTAACAACAAGTGCTTCAACTCCAGCCTATTTCTACATAGCAAACCCTGCCATGGCTGACTTGATGGCAGAGCTTTTCTTGAGAAAATCAGCTACAGGCTTTAGAAAAGGATTTCTGATGAATTTAGGGACACGTTCCCACAGAGACTGATAAATCCTGAGCAGAGCTGCGAGGGTAGTGTTCAACACAGCAGATGTTTGACTCTTGTTTCCAACAGCTGAGTCTGTACGCTGATTTTATTTTAAACACCGCCATCTGGTTAGGATAGACTGGGTCCATCTTTTCCTTTATTTTTTCCCCCTGCTGGCTCTCTCTCTTCTCCGCCTCTCTCTGCCTATCTGTCTGATTCTGCACAGATTTGATCCTAAACGCTACCATCTGTTCACATGACAGCTAGACCCTCAATCTGTGGTTCTCTCTTTCTTACTCTCTCTTATTCTTGTATCCTTTTTGACTGATTTCTCCTTTCTGTCCTCTCTTCCATGTTCTACTTGTCTCTCTTGAACTCTCTCCTTTCTGTCTTCGTCTCTTCTCTGTTTCTTTCCCTCCACTCCTCCACCACCACAGTTACTCCCAGCAGCCAGCTGCTCTCACACAGACAGATATGCACAACACATGCTCAGCTGACACTCTCCGCCAAGTGTGTGTGTGTGTGTGTGCAGAGAGAAAGGGAGAGAGGAGCTACGTGGGTGTTTCTTCGCGCAGGAGTTTTCGAAACTTTGACTTAGCTTCGTGTTTTATTTCTTAGTTTTTTAGTGCAGCTTTTGTTTTTAAGCGGTACACGTGTTGTGTTTGTATCAGTCTCAGGCCCTTCATGCCATAGTGGACTCATGGTAAACTGAACATGTGCATGATTATCCCATTATTGGTGTATTGCCTACATGTGCCTGTGTGTGGGTTTTTTTCTTGTAACTGTGTTTTTTTGTCTTTTTTTTTACACCGTTTCTGTTTATCTAATGTTACAGAGACTGATGACTATGCTGAGATAGTTGATGAAGAGGACACATACACCATGCCCTCCAGTAAGTAACTTATTCAATCTTCTCTCCTCTTCGCTTACAACATCCACCAACTAGAGTCATTTGTGCTCAAAAAATGAGCTACTGTTACTGCAGCAAGGGAACTATATAATAACTGTTATTCTTCGGTCAAATGCTTGCGTTCCTCCAGCAAACAATTTCTTTCTGCTATCTAATAGCCGAGCGTGGTTGTGAATCTTTTCCAAGAAACACACTTGCACGGGGAACATCAGAGAAGTTATATTAAACCACATTTGGTTAGGTGGAGGCTAATCAAATTATATAAACAGCCGGAGGTCAGAGAGGCTACAACTCATACAGTTCAATTTCTGTTGGTTAGACACAAATTCATTCACGTGTTAGTCAAAGACCCTGAATGTGCCGGTAGGTTTGGCTGTAGCCCTGTAAGTAATGATGGCTTCAGCCCTCTGTTCCAATACATTTGATGTGGATGTATTTGATTGCGTGGCCAACTTTGAAAATGGACTGTGTTCTCATTTCCTCCCACAGTCTTTTTTCTATCTTTGTCTGGTTTTATTTGTTTCTCTTTTTGCTTTTTTCGGTCTCCTTCTTTCTGCAACTTCCTCTAAAAAGACTTTTTTGCACACATATTTTCCCACTCTGTGTCTGAGTTTGTATGCGTGCGCATGTCATAACTGTCTGCTGTATGTATAAAACAAGGCCGTATAACAGTAATGTGTGTGTGTATATATAGCAAACCTGCTCTTTTAACCAGTCTGTGGCAGTATCAGCTCAGTTTTTCATTCATTAACAGATTTATTAACTAAACGTAAGATACAGAGTGAAATGGGTCTGTGTATGTATGTGTGTGTGTGTGTGTGTGTGTGTGTGTGTTATCTGAGCTATTTTCAATCTTAAAGCAGCTGTCTGGCTCTCTCCCTCTCTTCATCTCTCTTTCTTCCTCTTTCTCCCATCGCCAACACAGTCAGCTATGGAGTAGTTGAAGGTAAAACTCCCTGCCTCTCTCCCTCTCTCTCGTTCTGTCCGACCACAATGCCTTGAGATTTTACATTTTTACTGATATTTTTCTTTGCCGGGTACTTGATTAAATTGTAGGTAAAGATTTACCTCTGAAGCCTTCCTCGTTAAAACTCATTAGTGCATCTTCCTGCAAGTTTGTTCAAACCTAACCATACCCATTTATTTACACGAGTACTAGTATCAATGCTGAAGCTTTTATGAGTAGTAAGATTTTTATTTCACCATTAGTATCCGGCAAAGAAAAATACAAAGACTCAAAGCACCTAATATCGAAATTGTTGTTGACTTGCGGTCGTTGGTGTTTTGTAGAATGCAGTTCATTCGGGTCTGGTGTTGGAAATGAAAGGGAGGGCCAATCCATAAACAATGCAAGATGTGGACAGTATTTGTGTTGTTTATTGGCTTGGTTCTCATTTCACCATCATGTCGGTTATGAGATTTTTATTTCTTAATCGTAATTTATTATCATGGTCGTGTGTTTTTTGTTTTTTTTCGGTCATCTGTGGGTTCTTTTCTGTTTGAAGCAATTATTAGCTCCCTGCAAGTGAACTGCGATATGGATTAAATGCAGTAAATTTCCTTGTAATGGAATGTGTTTTGGTTACGCTGTTGGTGTTCGGGATTTTTCTGTTTATCTGTTGGTTGAGTCAAACAGCCGAACTTCGTTTAGCCCAACAGATAAGTAAACTTTTACGGCATAAGTTCCCGGTTGTCAGTGTCCTGCATAAACCTCTTGAACTCAGTACTGAGTCAATTTCTTTTACAGCGGCTGGTTGGCAGCTGACATTAATGCACCTCTGTAGAAATGAAAATCATGACCTTTCCAACAAGGCGGAAATATTGATAACAACTGTAAAAGTTAAAATGTCAAAAGCATGTGAATGTCACTTGCAAAAACAACCGCTTCCGTTCAGATACTTCTGGAATATGAAAAGGTTATGTCGACTGCACTTCAGATCCAGTGCATCCGTTTACATCAGACCTTTTGAATATTTTGCTAAAAACATCCAGGCCAAGGCGTTCTTCTCCGCCTTGCGAAGTGTTTTAAGAAATGGGCTCTTGATGTTTACATGCACAGAGCACTCCAGGTGTTTATCTCAATTAATGATCTTATTCAGGACAACTTGTTTATGTGTTTCCCCTGCAGCCCTGTCACTATACAGGAATAAACAGAAAGTGATAATGGGACTCTGATGTGCATGTAAACACAGCTTTTTATGAACCGTAGATTTTGCCTGTTAAATGGGTTGACTGTACGTTGGTGTGTTTGTAATTGTGTGTGTCAGTGTGCATGTTAAGTCAAGGTTTGTCTAGTTAGAGGTGTTAGGGGAAGGGACTATAATCTGAATGTATAAAAATGGGTTAAAATGTATTTTTTTTATATTGTTAATTGTTTAATTTAGTTTAATCTGATTTCTGGTAGGTGGGGTTTACCAAAAAGGACAATTAATTTGCTGCCAGAAAGTTTGAAATCATTCAAAGTTTCTTAAAAGTATCTTAATACTTTTACTTATACTAATTATTAAAACAATAACCTGATGCCATCCAAATTGTCTTGTCCTGGTAAGCCCCATCCATGTGGTCTGAGAGAAGCATGTCAAATGTGATGGGTCTTTCCTGTGTTTCCAGTGTATGAAAAACAGCAGGTAAACGTGGGTATCTCACTCTGTGCACTTCTTTTCTCTCTTTTTTCCCCTTCCTCTTCTCTCTCAGCGCGGGATTATGAGATCCAGAGGGACAGGATAGAGTTGGGCCGCTGCATAGGAGAGGGTCAGTTTGGAGATGTACACCAAGGAGTCTACAACAGCCCTGTATGTGGAAATACACTCGCACACACTCATGCACAGACATACATCAGACAAATAGAAGGTGAAAATAAGGCTTAGAATAACTGTTAAGGTAATAGAATACCAGATGGTTGTCGGTTTCCAGTCACAGATTACTTAAGTGACTTTCATGTTCTTTATTGTCTGATAGTTACTATAGTTATCATCAAGCTAAAACAAACCGTTGTCATTAAAATATTCTGCACCAACGTATAAAGATCAGATTATGTACTGCTTATGAGAATACTTTGGAAACTGAAAATACTGAGTTACAAAGTTTCACAAACTGTATTGGTGCAAATTAATAATTGTTGTCAGGTTGTTGTTGGTTTTTTACACATTTTTATGAGTTTTGTCTGTTCATTGCATTACATTTTATGTGATATATGCTTTATTGTGATATACTATCGATATTTTAAAAAAATCCTTCTTTTGTGTTTAACCAGCACATAATCTATAATATGCTAACCTGTGACTTTCTGTACCATGTGCTCTGCAGGACAAACCGGCTCTAAATGTCGCCATTAAGACCTGCAAGAACTGTACATCAGACAGCGTCAGAGAAAAGTTCCTACAAGAAGCATGTAAGTCCACACTGTGTTTTTCAAACACAAACAAACACCAGCGCTAATAGCCACATGCAGTTAGAGTGAAATAAAGCGTCTTCGGGGAGTTGATGGTAACTGAAGTGCATTTATAAAGGGTGTCACGTACAGACTTTCCAGTGATATGGCAGTAGTGATTGTAGCCAGGCAAAGCAATTATAGCTGACCAAAGTACATCATACACAGACAGATGGCGCAGACTGTACAATAACTGATAGGGAATGAAATTGTAAAACAACATCTATTAAGATCTATTAAGAATTATAAGATCTATTGCTTTGAGAAATGGAGGTTGTGTGGTTATGCACTGCAGACATGAGGGAGAGCACCCCAAATAACAATCACTCTGAGAAAACACCCCATAACGAGTGAGTCGGATAGAAACAAATGAACGAGCAGGGAGAGTTAATAAATAATCAGTTAGTTAGCCACATCTTTTGTGAATTGGACCTAAAGATGGGGCAGATAGCAGTTACAAGTGATGCACAATTCATGGTGCTATCAGTGGCTAAATGTGCGTGTGTGTGTGTGTGTTTCCCTTGCAGTGACTATGCGTCAGTTTGACCACCCTCACATTGTCAAGCTGATCGGAGTGATCACAGAAAACCCTGTGTGGATCATCATGGAGCTCTGTACTCTTGGAGAGGTACGCCTGAGGCTGTGTAGATAACAGGCCATTCACACACACATACACTAAGTAGAGTAGAGCATGTGTGTGGTGACATGCACCAACATCTACTATGTTAAATGAATACACTGTATGGAACAATTTCTCTAACATTACCTCATCCCTCTTCCTCTGTTCATCTCTCTGTCTACAGTTGCGTTCATTCCTTCAGGTGAGGAAGTACAGTTTGGATTTGGCCACTCTCATTCTGTTTGCCTACCAGCTCAGCACAGCACTGGCATATCTGGAGAGTAAACGCTTTGTACACAGGTACACACACACACAGAGAGAGAAAAGGCTGACTGAGGAATAAGTGTGAGCGATTGAGTGCATTTACTAGATTCACATTATTATTACCATGACAAATATATAGAAGTTTAAATTAATTAACCAGGACAGTTTCTGGAGTTTTCAATTCTAATGTAATCTTAAAATAAAGGAGTTATTAACAGATAGTAGTGGACATGTAATGTGCACTGTGTGCTGCATACATTTTACTTTGAGAATACACTGAAATACAGTGTAGTGAACAAATATGGACTGGTTTTCAGACACAGCTGGTGTTTCAAAGTACATCTAAGAAATAACAAATAACATCTACGATTCAGCCCTAACGACAGCCAATATCTTACAGGGACATCGCAGCTCGCAATGTGTTGGTCTCTTCAGTCGACTGTGTGATGCTCGGAGACTTTGGTCTGTCGCGATACATGGAGGACAGCTCTTACTACAAAGGTGATAATACATACATATACATACACTAAAACAAATACACACTCATTCACATACATTTTGTGTAATGTATTAACACAGAACACTGATTCACTAATAGTTTAAATCTACCAAGACCATTTTGTAGTTTAGTGAATGTGACCGAGTTTTCTGGTTGCCAGTACTTTACCACCATCCAAAGGTTACATCAGGGTACTGCAGTTTGTCCTCACTTAAAATCACCTATTGCACATGTTGGCATGTTATGAAAACAGCATCTTCTTCTCGACTCTGACCTGATTTGCAACATTCACCGGCAACAGAGTTACAAGTTTAATGTTAGTTAAAAGAAATCACTCTGTACATTATATGTAATTTTTATGTGTCTTTGTCTCAGCTTCTAAAGGTAAACTTCCTATCAAATGGATGGCTCCTGAATCTATCAACTTCAGAAGATTCACCTCTGCCAGTGATGTCTGGATGTTTGGTGAGTTAATGATCATTCATGTGTATTTGTGTGTTGTGTTATTTGCCATTAATAGGAAAAATATAATTACAGTACATCGTCTGAGAAACAGCCTTTTACTACACTATTTCTTCTATCATCATCACTTTTAAGAGCGTCTGTGTGTGTTTGTCAATCACTTTCTTGTCCTAAAGAACTACATGTTTGTTCTTCTGTAGGTGTGTGTATGTGGGAGATCTTGATGTACGGCATCAAACCTTTCCAGGGGGTGAAGAACAATGACGTGATTGGCAGGATAGAGAACGGCGAGCGATTGGCTATGCCCCCTCAGTGCCCTCCCACCCTCTACAGTTTGATGACCAAATGTTGGTCGTATGACCCCAGCAAGCGACCGCGATTCACCGAACTCAAAACACAACTCAGGTAATAAAATGTTGTTTTTTTGTTTGATTTATTTTCCTTTACTGAGAAATATAAAAACAACAGATTAGTCGATCAATCAAAGTTAATCAGCAAATACTTTGATAATCATTTCATTCCATTTCAGGGTTTCAGCCTCACAAGGAGGATTTGCTGCTTTTCTTTTGAATTAGTTTAATTTGCTTCCAATACTTTTGAGGTTTGGACTATTGGTTGGAGAACACAAACATCAATTTGATCTAATTAATTAATTAACACGACATTTCTCACTGTTTTTCAAATTTGTACATATGAAACAATCAATTCATGGGGGAAAAATCAGATTAATCCATAATGAAAATAATAATAAATTGTAGTCCTATGCTCCACCTCAACCAACTACAACAGTAAAATCCTGCTTTTATATTAATGAGTACTAATCTAATGATATAATATATAATAGTATAACGGTGCAACAAGTACCTTTTACTTTTAATACTTACATGCTAGTACATGTTCCTGACTATACTTGTAAAGGATCTCAGTACTTACTAAGATGAGTCATTTGTGTGTAACTTTTTTAGCACCATACTGGAGGAAGAGAAGCTTCAGCAAGAGGAGAGACTTCGAATGGAGATGAGGCGACAAATCACCGTGTCCTGGGACTCTGGAGGGTCAGATGAAGCGCCGCCAAAAGTAAGACTGAATGATTATCTTTTTATTTCACTTCTCTCTGATTTATTTTTTTGTATTTCAGTGTGTTTTGTTGTCATGGCCTGCAAACAGAAACAAACCATTATCTTTCTGCCTGCAGCCCAGTAGACCTGGTTACCCCAGTCCTCGTTCCAGTGAAGGCTTCTTCTCCAGCCCCCAACTCAACCACTTCCCGGTACAGCAAACACACACAGAACACACACATGCAAAAACACAGGTCCCATAGTGAGAAAACTGAGCTCCTCTGTTCCTTCTCATCCACTGTGGCTGCAGCAGTGTTTTTCCTCTCACTTCCAGAGGTTTTAGGTGGCAACAGCAGCAGCGTGAAGGAGTACAGAGTGGAAGATGGAGGGGATTCAGGACTCAATAAAGTCTTACAGGAATCTTTTGGAGCAAACATACTGCAACTTATTCAGAAACAACCATTCAAGTTCACCTTGCTCGTATAAGCAGTGTAGGCTATGCACTAAGTGCCCCCCTCGTTATTCAACAAAATATATTGCTTTATGTTAGCTGAGTTTTAAGAGAGCCACCTAGGCAACGTAAGTTATAGATTACTATACTTCTTCTTCTGTGTGTGTGCGTGTGTGTGTGTGTGTGTGTGTGTGTAAAAATCCAGTATGTAACATGTAGGACAATCTACTGGTAAAAATAGAATATAACATTCTGAATGTACTCTCAATGTGGACATGCTATACAACATTAAATCTGTGAGATACAGTGCCCTCGTTTTTTAGTCCCTACACACCTTTTCTCTCCACAATTCAGACGTTGTTTTTTGCTTACAAAAAAAAACATACATGAATTTCATATGTATGTTTTCATTAGTGTATAATCACATGAAAACGTATAAGAGTCATGTTTTTTTTTACCTTAGAATGAGACAGTTTTAGTGGTTTTGTGTGAGTTTTGTGGCCACCGTAGTTTCCCCGACTTTTCATAGCCCGTTCTCATCCCCAAGTTGTCAAATACAGGCACAGTTGCAATCTCACCGCTAGATGCCACTAAATCCTACTCACTTGTCCTTTAACACTGACTAAACTCCTTAAATCTTTTGAAGAAGGTTAGGTCTGGAACAAAAATTGTAGGAATGCTGCTTTCGAGAAAGGTGCATTAATCACAAATCTTGAAAACATACCAACACATCAAAATGATCTCTGAAGTGTCCACGTTAAGCACTGTCATCACAGTAAAGGCCACCCCAGTAAACTCTGTATGTGAGTCAACTCAGAAGAAGACAGACTGTATTGGAGGACAGACGTGTGCTGCATGTGTCAAAGTCAGAAGGAGAAATGTGAAGAAAGAGAAAATGAGAGGGACTTTCAGTGCAGTTATTCCGCTCCTCATAAACCGAGCAGACAGCAGGCATTTCCTGTAGTGCTAAAAGCCACTACACACACACACACACACGCACAAATCAAAGCCACTCTCCAGCTCTTAAGGCAATAAGCTACTCTCTCTCTCTCTCTCTCTCTCTCTCTCTCTCTCGTCCTTATAAGGAGTGTGTAATGTTAACTGCTATATAAGTCAAACTTGATCATATCACAAGTAAGAATAACATCTATATATTTAGGTAGCATGTATTACACACCAGACTGAGAGCAGCTGCAGTGCTGTATAAGAACTCCCATGATTCTTTGAGACCTTGTGCCAAATCAGAGCTTGTTATTATTGCTGATTACGATTCCTCTGATTCTACGATGACTCAGAGACCCTTTCTATGAGTCTATTTGAAATTTGTGTCATATTATATATCATGAATATCAGGATTTGTGTGGTAATCCAGAAATTGAAGATTAAAGCAGTTTAATAAGGAAAATATCAGTCAATTTACACTCTTGTAACCTTGTGTAACTTTTAAAATACAGGTTATTTTGCATTTCAGATTATTCAGATACATTTTATACCATATAAGGGTAAATAGTAGAAGCCTTGGCTTCATCAGTTGACTTATTTTGCTCATTGTCTGTATACTCTTTCTAATTTAGTCTTGTGTCATCAGAACGGGAATGTAAAAACAGATCCTTTACTATTATTAACCATCTCTCTTTCTGTCCACCTCCAGCCGTCAGCCCACGGTGGTGCAGGAGGAGTAGGAGGGAGCTACCCTCCTAATGATTCCTGGAATCAACACAGACCTGAACACACTGCACTGTGGAGCCCTAACATGGAGGTATGCACACAATACATAAAACAAGCACCTGAATGCAGTCTAAGGTTGACATCTAAAGCCGTATTTTCACTACAACTCTACTCGCTTTTGGTACCTTTACTTTCCCACCGTAGATAGTACTTTGGATAGTATCCTGTCAGCGTAGATGGAGCTGATTGTCGGAGCAACACTATTTCATTATTCACTGAAAAACTGTAACCAACACTGTACTTTTACTGCCAGATTGACGACTTCACTGCTCACCTTTTCCTCTCCTCTTAAAGTCGAGTCCCAACCGCGTGGTGGAAAAGCGCTTTAAGTGATATAACCTAATATAATATAATATAAACTGTTGAACAGGTTTTCCCTAGCTGAGCCTGGAACAACCCAGGTCTCAACTTTCACATACATTTATGTAATTTACTTTTCATTTTGATTAAACATAGCGGGTGACATTATAGTAGTGAGGTGCTGGCACTTCAACCGTGTGGTGAAGTTGTTTTTTCAAGCAGACCGCAGTGCTCAGTGCAGGGGAATAAAGTAACTGCAGTCAGGAAAGTGTTTCAAATGGAAACTCGATCCCTACAATCATTTTTATTAAGTATTTAAGATCATTGCACAGTTCAATCAATAACTTGTCAGCATATAAAGATGATTGAGGTGATCGTGTTGCTGTCCTGAACCTGTTAATCCCATTTAGACTTTTTTTGACAAAAGTCTAAATAAACAAGTTTTGAATTTAAGTATTTAGTAAAAAATCAATTCACAAACACCCATGTGTTCTACAGGATAGTGGATGTGTAGGCCACGCTATGATGGAGGAGAGGCTGATGATGCAGCAACAACAGATGGAGGACGACCAGCGGTGGTTGGAGCAGGAGGAGAGCTTCATGGTAATGCACAAACACAGAGATATTTCTATGTAAGCTACTTCAGTTTTTGTTTGTGGACTATGAGCACCACTACTACTTTGAGCAAAACATCACTTCTAGTAACAAAATGGACCCTTAAAGGGAAATTCAAGTGTTTTTCAACCACGTCATCCTGTCTGTGGGTCATCATTTTACACTCACCTCCTTCGTTCTGGAAGTTGTGACTCTACAAATAACAAAATAATAATAAACAAATTTCAATTTTACAGAAATAATTTGACATGATTGGCTCTAAGTCCAACTGAGAGTAAACAGCACACAGTGTTGCAATCATGTATGCTAGAGAACCATTAGCAAACAAGAGAAGATGTATTTATGTCATTATCATCCAAGGGGATTAAAGAAAACTATGTGTCTGGTTAACTAATAGATTTTCAGAATGCTCTGCTCATCTAAAAGCAGTTTTCTGTCATGGTTAAGATTGTGGTGTTATTATGTACAATCTCTGCTGAAATATTAAAGTGTAAAACCAAACACATAGCCCTGCATTAAAACATAACCTAAAAAGGAAGGGAATGAAAAATATCTGTCTATCTATCTAAACCACTGGATGCTGGTGTCCTAAACTGTAGTTGTCATGGCCGACCAGACGGATCAACAAAAAACAAAACAAATATTTAGATGTTAAAATAAAATACTGCATTGGGTCTGCACCGTTTCCACTTAGTAAAACATCTCTGGTGTGTTTTCTTGCCGAATATCTTTTTCAGGTCTTTGAACTGACTCACTTGAGTTTGATTTATCTCATCGGACACTGAAACATCCCCCGAAGGGAGCCAAATCGCTCCTTTTGCAAAACAAGTCTGTTTTTCTTCTCTCTTCGGGTCAGAGTGTTTCTCATCTTGCCTTGATGGGCTGTTTTCATTTTTGAGCCAGGTGTAGGAGAGAAAGACAGAAAGAGAGAGAAAAGCACAGATGAGTGATGTCCCCTCTCTTTATCTATCATTGTTCTTACTGCCAGCTTGCCATATTTGAGAGGCACTTATTGTTTCACAGAGGAGGACGTCTCTCAGGACAAACCTGGCAGACTGAATTGCTGATGTCGTAATTGTTATTTGGTAACCGCTAAGATTTTTCCTGGCTTCTATTGTCCCTTGATGCACCAGCTCTTTGCACCCACCTTCACAAACTTTTGCTAAGACTTTGCTTCAGGGCTGGGGACACAGAATAGCACTCATTGCTAAATGGCTCAACCATTTCCCCCAGCAGTTTTATGGCCCTGAGCTTGGACCTCCGTGGAAATTTACAAATGAAAGGAAGCTTCCTTAGATGAATAAAATATAACGCCATTTGATGACTTCTTCCATCAGTAGAAACATTCCTGACACTCGACCCATTGCGGAGAGACTAATGTACAAACACTGCCCAGGGACTTTTTTCTGCTCTGCCCATTCCCACTGATGCACAACCATTTTAAGACCACAAGTCAGTTCATACAAACAAGAAAGTCAGTGTGGTGAGCTCAAAATCTGTTAATCTTGTTCTAATCTGATAATGATCAGTTATGACACTCAGTTGAGTTTAACCACAAAGACAAATTGAAATTTTTTAAGGCAGTGTGGTTTATGAAGTCTGTGTAGTTTTAGCCTACTGTGTCATCACTTGTTTGAAAGAATTTGTGCTGACTAAACCCTATCATTGTATTGTGCACTGACAACACTAGAAAGAGTTTATAGCCATTTTTCTTACTGTTAATTGTATAGTAGTATGGAGTATCGGCTAACCAAGAACTGACTGAATCTTCAGCTCCTTATTCATGCACAGAACACTTCACATATAAATATCTTTATGGATCTGTAAAGCTTTTAGCAAGGCGATGGCCTAGAAACTACTTACTTTCACTTTTAAGAAACCCTAAATATTGTATTTATCAAGTTACTTTTACTAAGAGCTTCAGGTTCAGGTTTTGAAACAATACTTTTCCGTGCTCTGTGTGCTGTGAATCATTTCCTATCATGGTCCAAAATGAGCTTTTTAGCTCATCACAGGTAAACTGAGAAAATCTCCCAGTCAAAAATATTTTTTTTACAAGTCATAAATTGTATTTTATTATTTTGTCTTTGTCGTTGTTTTTTTTGGAGGCTCAACATGAATGTGTTGCTGCATCTCTGATAACATTTAACAGATGCTTTTTATTGCAAAAACATAGACAGACGTTGTCTAGAAAGCACCAAATAGCAGTGAGCTACTTTGATTGATTCACTGACGTCACTAGTCGACAGAGAGTACACATGCACAACACAGCGACCTGGCCCTATGCTGTGATTCTAAATTATTTACCGGCCAACGGGCAGTTTGACCCTAATTTATTTAAAAATGTATTTCCAAATTTGGTGGCATTGAGCTGCTTTTGTGGAGCTGTAGTTACTAGTAACTTTGACAAGATTTGTTATACAAAACATGCAAGATATTGTACATTAATATATACAGTATTATAAACTACACAACCGTATTACATAACAATGCATTGGCAATAATAATCTAAAGCTATCTATATAATGATATAATACTGTGTCAGGACCAGTCTGCTGCTTAATGACTACTAGACTGCGCATGTGTACTTCAGTAAAATAATGAATCCAGGTCTTTCACTGGTAGTGTATTTGTACATTGAGATATTAACAATTTACTGAAGCAGAAGATCTCAGCACTACTTATACCACTATAGAGTACTGCCCGGCAGAAGTTCTACCAGTCAAATACGCAAGTAAACTTTGTGATAAACTAAAAGGAGGAGAATAAAAACGGAGAGCAACGAGAGAGAGAAGGAAAGTAAGTAACAAAAAGATGGAAGTTTGTGAGGAGGAACGAGAGTGCAGGACAGAAGGAGGGAGAAAGGAAGTGGGATTGGCAAGAGCCATGAAGAGGGTGGAACGAACAAGGAGTCACCCATCACAGAGAGAGAAAAACAGAGGGAGATGCAGAGAGATGGAAAAAGTGGGCGGGAGAAACATACTGAGGGAGAGAAACAGAGAGGAGAGTGAGACGGTTGGATCTTTTCTCTCCAGGATTTTGTCTCTGTGGCTCAGTGGAGCTTTTCCTCCTCTGGAAAAACTTTTTCTCTTTCTCTGTCTATCTTCTCCTCCCCCTCCATTCTTCTCTGACTCAATTTTTCTGCCTTTCTCAGTCCGTTTCTCTCCGTCTCTGCACCATCTTCCACCGACTTTGTTTCTTCTCTCTCCCGGTTTCCTTTATGCTTTTCTTTATCAGTCTTTCTCTCCATGTCTTAAGTTTTTCTTAGCTCCCCTCTATCACACTTTCTGTCCCTATCTCTGCCCTTCTTTCGATGGCCTCCACTCTCTGCTTTCCTCCTCCCGTCTTCTTCAGCCTCTATTCTCCCAGGATGCATCTCTTCAAGGCGTGCTTCACCAAAACGGTACTGAAACAGAAAGAGAGAGGGAGTTTGGATCCAGGCTTGGTTTTCGTGGTGCAAATGTGGACAGAGTTTGTTTTTTACTGTTTTCTGTAGACAAACAGACTCTGCTGTCATGAAGTCATCTGTGTGAACAGGATTGTGTTTATCTGCTGCTCTTCTTCATATTTGATGATGATGATGTTCACTTTGTGAGGCAGTGTAGATGGAAAAATTACAAACTACTGCAGGTTGTAGTCGATGGAATTTAAATTTTGCGTAACCGTTGCGGGTTAAGAGTGCATTTTTGTTTGTGTGGTGTTTAGTTAGAAAAAGATAACTATAGATGCTTTTCATAGATTTTTTCTTTCTGTAATTTGTAGATGTCTAATTGCTGATTGCATTTTCATATTTTATGTGTTTGTGAATACCCCATGTGTACATGTACCCCTGTGTTACTTATTTTGTTTTACTGTATTTAATCACTCAACTAGAACTACCTGGAACAACTTGTATACATTTTTTACAGTAATGGAAAAACTGCCACTTCCATTAAATTCATCTTTCTGTCTCCTCCCTGCAGAAGACGGAGTCCAGAAACAGCAGAGGAAGCATTGACAGAGAGGACGGCACACTACAAGCACCGGTGTGTGTGTGTGTGTGGGGATGCTTACATTGATGCACTGATGGAAAGAAGAATGCTAAAGTAAAAGGAGGGAAAGGGAGGAGCCAATAAGCAGATTGTAGCAAAGAGAAGAAAGATTAAAAAATGAAAAAGTGCAAGAGGGAGGCAGAAGGAAAGTATTCAGACAGACAGACAGACAGACAGAGGAAATACAGAGGCTGGGTGAAAGTATTTTTGTCTTTGTGCCAGGGAGGGTACTGCCTACACACCAACCACATGACCACAGAGGGCTCATGGGAACTTTAAACCCAGAAGCACTGCACAGTCCCATTTTACTGTAAATGTGGGTTTTGATATCCTAAAGCTAACACTTCACAGCATTACCTTTATCCACACTGCATCAGCTGTAACTATAGCTGAGGGGTGACATTGCTGGTGGGGATTCCCATTTTCCTATTCTTCTTTTAAAGATTATTTAATATTTAAAGACTACTGAAAGTTTGCCTGCCATTAACCTGGTGTGTCTATGTGTGTGTGATTGTCTCTGCACAGGGTGGAAGCCAACATATCTACCAACCTGTAGGGAAACCAGGTGAGACAACTAGCATACTGACACGCTTTAGAAAAAACACTGTAAAAAGGTACTGATGAAAATAAATGCCTTAAATTGTGAAGTGTAAAGTGAAACGACAGTACTGTACAGTACTCATTCTACAGCATTCCCCTTTTCAAAGATAGTAAGAGTAATATCATTTACTATGGCTACTACATTATTATAATATTGGAGTAGCAGTAGTTTATACACTCTTGCATAATAAAATCTCATATTTCATAAAGATTTGTAAAGTTTTACTCTGAAATGTAGTGGAGGAGTAAAAGTTGAAGTACCTCAAAAAGTATTGTACCTGAGTGAATGTACATAGTCACATACTTTCCACCACTGCAGGTCAGCATAAAGAACCTGTTAACATACTCTACTACTACCTACTGGTGATACTAGCATTACTTAGCATGCTAGCATACCGATGATACTATCACGTTTTTTTCAGAACATGTGGCTCCTCCTAAGAAACCGCCACGCCCCGGAGCTCCTGGTCACCTCGGCAACCTGGCAGGTCTCTGCCCCGTGGACAGCTACAACGAGGGTGTCAAGGTATATATATGCACACATACATATGCACAAAGAAAAAGGACACAACACATAGGGCCTAAGAGCAATTACACTCCTAAAAATAGAGAATTTATTTCACCGTTTTAAAATGTGGCTGATTTAAAGATCATTTTTGTGAGAAATTCCTTCACTGTGCTCTTATTTTAGCCTCTTTCACTTACGGAAGTCCTGCAGTTCTGTATTTTATTGTGTTAATCTTGCACGTTTGGTTTGGACATTCCCTTTCTAGCATATAGATTTTGAGTTGACTTCATTGATGGGTTGCATGCTGTGCTGCCTGTGGTTGGCTTTGGCCTAATGTGCTGTCCTTCTTCTCTCCCCCTTTACTCTTTCTCCCCCTCTGTCAATTAACATCCCACACGCATTCATTCTGTTTGATTCCCTTTAACACCCTGGGATCCTATTACTCCTTATCCTGCATTTCTCATCTGTCATTCTGCATCCATCCCTCCACCAATCAATCTGTCAAATCCTTTCCCCCCCATCCCCTTCAACCTCTTCCCTGTCAAACCCCTCCCCATCCGCACAACCACACCTCCCTCCCATCTTCTCAACCTCCCCATAGCCGTGGAGGGTAAGCTGATCTTTGTGTGTGTCCGTCATCATTGTAGAGTTACTTGTAGATAGTTACCGTTATTATCATGTACGAAGAATATTTTTCTCTACCAGAGACAAAACAAAATACCATTGGTTGACGTGTCAGACATCATCCTTGACCTCAGAACACTATGTCTAATAAAATAATCTCCGCTGGGGCTGTCAGATGCATCTCACGGTCATTAGCAAAGATGATGAAGACTGTGAGATGTTGTTGAAAGCTCCAGAAAGCTCGTCAATTGACCTTAACATTGAGATTATTAATAAAACATTAGCTTTGCAGTAGTCATAGCCAGAGTGTTGTTAAGAATATCCCTGGTAAAGAAAAATAAAATGTAAAAAGCCACCGTAGTGTTTCAATAGAAGCATTGTAAACTGATCACTGTATGTCATCCATCACATCTCTACATGTTAAATATAGTTAAGTTGATGTAGTTGTAGGTTTGCTGTAGAAGGAACATCCTCCCAAAATTGGGATTCATTTTAAGTGAAGAAGAGAAGCTGTGGGATAAACTCTTTTAATGCTAACTGTAGCTTAATGTGATTTTTTTTCATTTAAATCAAGCCTTCTACTGAGCTCTTTCTCATTAAAAGGGTGGCCTACAAATCACTTCAGCCATGCTTTAATTATGTCCCCAAATTAAATGGCTGCACCACACCATTTTAAAAAAAAAGTTTTGTGAACATTAATTAAACCTGCATTAAGGGATTTATGACCACTCAGGGCCTGAAAAACAAAAACAAACCGTAAACATTCAGCAAGCATAAAGAGCTTCAAAGTGGGGACATTGGTTTGTGGGCAACGCTTTCACTTTACACTAAATCATTTCTAAAAAACCTATTACTTAATGCAGGTTGAACTTTGAGTCTGTCATTAGACAACTGACCCTGTCTGTCCTGCCGTCACACTACTAACAACTCTACACACTCCTCTGTCGTAGTAGAAAACTCAAGGTATTTAGTATGTAGGTAGAAAGGTGTGTGTGTGTGT